AGAAATGCTACTGGTTCAGACCAGTTCGTCCGAACCAGTAGTAATAAATGCTACCAGTTCAGGTGAACCGGTAGTAAAAAAAATGCTACCGGTATTTCCAACAATCAGCTGTGCGGTTCGATTTATATTCACTAAAAAGTAGGAAATCCTGCTTTCTAGCGAATCTAAATCGCGCGGCACAGCTGTTCCCCCCCCCCACCCCCTGTCATTGTTCTACTTACCTTTGAAGACTCAGAAAAAGCTTCTTAATCCTCCTTTTTCAGCGCTGCGTGGTAGTGCCTGCAGTGCACATGCATGCGAAGCGCGCATTTGGCATGCACCTGCATGCGCGCATGAAGCAAACCGGTAGCAAAGCAAACTGATAGCAGAGCATTTCATCCCTGATCTGCACATGTCTCACTGCATTGTATTGTATATATCCCATTGCTCAAGTTTGTGTCTGGGTGTTTTTTCCTTGGCTATCCCAATCCAGAAAAAGACACAGCAGGAACTGCACAATAGACAAAGAAGAGAACAACAAATGACACAACATTGTATGTCATTCCATAAATTGCAGGAATATCTCAAAATATCTCACTTCCTATATGATGTGATTCTATGGAATCTGTGTCCACAAAGGTGAACTGCATACATTTTTAAAAATAGCATCGCAACTGCCACTGCACACATTCCTTGTTAAATGGTCTTCCCTAATCTGGTTCTTTCTTTATAGTTCCTATCATATCCAGCCAACATGGTTGTTCACTGTGATGGCTAAGCATGATGGGATTTGTAATCTCTCAAGGAAAGCTAATAAAGAGTCAGGGTTTCCTCTTCTTTCAATCCACTGCCTTGTGTTTGCTATGTTAGAATACATTACAGCATGTGGATGGATAGAATTATATTGTGGTGATTTCTGGTCTGTTAAAATAATAGCAAAGCTTTATCAAGTCAACTGGCTTCTCTGAGAATCTTCCAAACTGCAGAGAAATCATTTTTTAAAAAAATTAGGGCTGATTTGCAAAAACTTCTCATGGAGGGAGAGAGCGGTCTTGATTTGAAGAGCCCTTACTTTTGGCCGCCCAAGAATCCATGCAGCAGATTCAATATCTGGGAACTCCAATGCCATGTGAAGAAAATCCATACAGTAGAACCTCTGGTCACGAATACTTCTAACCATGACCAAATCAGGTTTCGAACAAAAAATTCAAAAAAATTTAGGTTTTTTGCAGCTGACTTCCCCTTCCATGCCATTTTTTTTTTTTTTTGTAAGCGCCAAATTTCCAGGTTCGGGTCACAACCAAATTGGTTTGCAACCAAAGTTATGGAATGAATTATGATCATGATCAGAGATTCTACTGTATTTTGGTTTCTTTCCACAGTAGCACAGTCCCATTGCACTGCTGTCTTCTAATTTTTGGAGGAACCCTGGAGAAGAAACCCTCCTTCAACAAGGACTCACTTTCCCCTCAGCTGCCTTTGTTACTAGCAGTTTTGTTCCTCTTCATCACTGCTGCCAGTTTCCCAGTGTAAGATTTGACTATTGTGTGTCTCAGATGGGAATGCTAAAGAGCTAAGGGAATCATCTCCCCCTTTAGAGCTGGGAATGCCTACCCTTTAGAATTGTAGATCTAAGCAAATGCTTGCCATACCGACCTCAGTTACTACCAGGGCATCTTTCCCCCCCCCCTCCCCAGAGAAACAGAAACATTCTGTTATGAGGGTCATCCAAGCTGGATGAAGGGGGGGGGAGACTTCCTTCCAGTATCTTCTATACAAGGAAATAGTATCTGGAGGCCAGAACACAGTATGGAGAGCCATCAGGGAAGCCCACCTGCTACATACAATCTGTATTTACTCTTTAGGTTCATGCATCATGTTAAGCTATGTTTCATTTTAACTATGAATTATTCACTAAGTCACATTAGCCTTGTTCACATATAACATATGAAGCCACAACATCCACAAAGGCGTCATTCATACATTGCACTAAATCAAAATTGAAGCACCTTTGATTTTCCCTCACAGTATAAGAAAGTCTCCCTTCTTTCCTTCACGTAGAAATCAGTATCTTTTCTTCAATTAGAGGACATTATTTTATGCAGAATGTGAAATCATTTCTTTTCTTTTCACAGGGTTCAGGTTGCTTACTGAAGAAGCAGACAAGAAGAGGGAGGAGGGAACACCTCTAGGCTATGACCAAGCTGGCTATTTTGCTTATCAGGTTGCGCTCCCAGTCTATCTTCCCGTCTGTTTCTGAAAATCACATCGCTCTGTATCACACAGACATACACATCCTTGAAATCATATGTTGGAGCTGTGTGTGTGTGTGTGTGTGTGTGTGTGTGCTTTATGATACAAATTTGATAATCTCCTCAGCCCACTGGTATGGTTCCAATTTAAGCTGTAAGGCCATAAAATTCGAGCTCTTTGTTTTCCTGAAGGCCACAAGATTTTCAAAAGATACCATTGTGCCGCTCAGAAGCCCATAAAGTTGTCACTAGGCGCTGATTAAACAGTCCTGAATTGAAACAGTACAGATTTTGTCTAGGTCCTTTTCAGGCGCTACAATGTCCTTTTCAACCTCTGAGACAAAAGGAGGTTTAAGGAGCGATTCTCTTAGAGATTCTTCTGAGATAACCCCAACCATATGGAAAGCAAGGTGGCCAGCAGCTGAGACCATAACATGAAAAAAAAAATTGAGAAAGGGAGAAAGGAGGCTAAAAAGAAAAACAGGTGACAACAGGACTATCCACCGTCCCAATTGCTCTCCCAACTGCTCTCCCAACCCTCAAGGATCTTCCAGAGACACACAATGGGGCCCAACAACACAACCATCACAGATCTTCCCAAGGATGGACTCAAAAGATGCAGCCAAAGATATCAGCAAAATCTGCAGGGCATAGGTGTGAGGAAAGCCTGCAAGGATTGGTACTGTAAGAGTCAATACCCAGGGGCCGCAGTGTCCTCCATCATCTCTAGCTAATGTCTCCTTGCTAGCTGAGAACCTTGAGAGTGATATTGCCCAGCACAGTTGCAAAGTACCAAATTGAGGAGAACAATCTGAATTATACCTCCAAAGCAAGAGGAGTTGTTGAAGACGGACCTATTTCAAGTGCTATGCTTCAAAATCAGTGGAGTGGGAATTGTGTTAGGGTTTGCTAAACTATGAGTCCCAGCTCCCAATGTTCAGGGATGGTGGGAACTTTTAGTTCTGCAATGTTGGAAAGCCCATTAACCATCAGTTTCCCCACCTCAGAAATACTTGAAGATGAACAACACATGTACATATGCACACAGATTTTCCTTTGTAACTATAAAGGAGAGTAGAGTCAGGTTTTGGCTTCTTCTACAATTTTCCTTACCTTGAGCTCTGAATTTCTGAGGGGTGTGTGACAAGGCAAGGACTTACTGTAGTTGTATAGCATCAGAAAGAAAAAAAAGATAAAAGCATGTTCTTTATTAGATGGCCCTCAAACTAATCTCCTCAACCAGGGGATCTGGCAGAAGGAAACTCAGGTCGTCACCATTTGCAGTGGTATCTGAATATTTCCCAATTGTTAAGGATCATTATGTATGACTCCTCAAACCATTATCAAAGGCCAAGGTCAGCATATTCAAAGCAAAACAGTATTGGATATTAATGTCTTGGATTTTTTTAAAATGCTGTTATTTTAAGTAATAACATCATAATCTCAATTGCATAAAATGAACATCATAAAATGCTTCAAACTTTCCATCTTCAGTTGAATCATGGTGGAGTAATAGAAAATATCAAATTGCAACTTTTATTATGGCATAAGAAAGGACATGTCTGGTCTCTTATTGGAATTCAGAAGTAAATCTCAAACTCAAATTTATTTTTAAGGAAGACTGATTATTGGAGATTCCCAGGACCAAACTACCTTTCAGATTGTGTTTGATGATATGATCTTAAATTTCCGACAAAGCATTAGTCATCATTATTTATTCTTAATACATCTGGTGCACAATCCCTCTCAAGAATGTCATTTTCCATGGGATATATTTGATTGTGTCCTCATTGTCTAGATCTTTCCAAACTGTTGGTTCCCAAGGACCATAGGCCAGACTGGGCCAGGAGATTGCTTTACATTAATGCAATATTTATCAAAATTTGCAATACTAAGGCTGACCTACTCCTTTTATTAGATTTATTCTACAGGAATATTTTTGAGACTATTATCATTCTCAATAATAACATCACCCTGAATGGTCATCTTAAGCAGCATCTTGTCTGGATACATCCACATAGTAAACCCAATAGCAACTGCATTTATTAATATGGCCATTATTCCACAGTACCAAGGAGAGAGAATGGGAAGGAAGAAGTGTTCTATAGAAATTATGGCAACCTGTCCTGCTCTCACACAACAGATATGAGTTCAGCTACACAGATGGTCCCCAGGATCACCATGTGGGGAAAGCTGTTGGGACCATAAAGGAAGCAGAAAAGGGCAGATCCTGCCCCCCAAATGGCTGCCCTCCAATATTCAATCCTTTACCCCCCTAAGGTTGAAATAGACATTTGCAAGCAACTATAATCTATCCCCAACTGAACAGAAGTATTGGAATCTGCACCAACTTTATTAGAGCTGAAAATTATTGAATTAATTCCCAGAATTCTGAATCCCCAGGTAATCCAACTGAAAAATTGCACACCTTAAAGGACTTTGGAAAGGTAGCAGTAATAAACTAGAGTGTCTAAACCAGTCAAACCATTATGGTAGTGAGATCTGATTGACAAAGACAGGCTTCATCTCACCCCAATGAGAGAATGCTTTCAATCACTAGTGCTGTATGCAAATGACTCAAAATTGAGTTTCTTCAAATTCAATTTCTAAAGGGCCATTGTTGATTTCATCAGATTTCCAACTCTCTCTCTCTCTCTCTCTCTCTCTCTCTCTCTCTCTCTCTCTCTCTCTCTCTCTCTCTGTCTGTGTGTGTGTGTGTGTGTGTGTGTGTGTGTATGTGTAGTTTCCAGGAACTGAGCTGGATGAGAGCAAGTCTTTATTTTATTAATTTATTCAATTTTGTGCCACCCATCCTGTCTAAAATTTATTTACTTTTTTGTCACAGCAGGTTGTACATTTGGCATTTTATTTACCATTTAAACTCTGGTTATTGTGTACTTGCCAACTGGACTTCAATCCATACAATTTGTTGAGGAACACATTTGTTACAGTGCTTAACTATTCAAAGAGTAGCCCTTTAAATCAGTGAGGTTCACTTCTGAGACCTCATTGTATTAAGCAAAATGCCACAAGGCATTTCTAAGGAGTTTGAACCAATCATCCCAATACATGTTTTTAAATCTCCTCTCCTCCACTCTGATCACACAAGTACCTTCTATGGCAGCTTCTGAACCACCCAGAGACACTAATTTCCAGCAACCCCCATGAGTAGAATTATTAAAAAAAGAAACTACATCCAACACAGATTGCTCTTTATCTGCTGCACTTCAATTGAAATGCAACTGGTTCTTTATGTCAGTTTCCTAGATTCTTAAAACAAAAGTCCAAAAGGAAGGTTTGGCAGGTATTGTGCAGTCATCCACCATTTTTGACCCTTCCAATTAGGCTTCCATTGACTTTATTCCCAAATCATTCTAGGTCCTAACTTCACTTTCTTCTATTAAGGAATCCAAGCCAATTGTTCCTGGATGATAAACTCCCATTTGTCCTGTAAAAACATGCTTCTGAATTTGAAAGCCTTTACGGTTTTCAGAAAAGATGTGCGTATTATGTGCTGGAATTAACCTGGATGGTCTCAAAAGTTGCAACTTGCCCAAATGCAAATCTCCACAAGCCTTCTCGGAAGTAACTGCTAAGGAGCCCTACACAGCAACAAGACTTACTCCTGGGCAAGCATAGAATTGCAACCTTTTTGTCTCTGTTCTGTACATTTACCTAGAGGGCCCATTTTTTTGCAAGAAGGATTGGCAAGCCCTTTTGAAATGACCATCCTATTTCCCTTTTCATCCTAATCACATACTAGAGCAGGACTTCCATGTAAGGTAAAAAAACACAGCTGGAGACCCTTCCCAAGAATATTGCAATGGATCTTTTCTTTTTCATATATATATATATATATATATTGTTTTGAAAGGCCTGCAATCCGCCAAACGTTTACTCTAAACTAGTTCTATTGGGAGTCAGAGTCCCGAGAGCGCCAAGCAAAAGCCCCGTCGGGCGAGGCGAAGGCCGGGGTGTCTCTTCCTCACGAAGGGAGCCGATCCAGTGTCCAGGGAGGCAGCCGCCCAGCCCTCAGGATCTCCCTCAGCCCCAGTTCCAGGATACTAAGGAAGGCGGCGCTAAGTGCTGGTAGGCGGGGAAAAGGCCCAGCGAGGAGGTTTGCGGGAAGGCCGAGTAGCCGGGCAGGTTGAATGGCGCTTGGGGCCCGCCGGGGCTTCGCGAGGGCGGGGCGCGCCGCTGCAGCTTTCGCAGGCCTTGCCGTCCCGCACCAGCACCGGCACCACCACCCGCCGCATGAGAGGCGGGCCGCTCCCGGCGCCGCCCCGCTCGCCGCCCTTGGCGCGCTTCATCTTGTAGCGGTGGTTCTGGAACCAGATCTTGACCTGGGTGGGCGTCAGGCGGAGCAAGTGCGCCAGCTGCTCCCGCTCCGGCGCCGACAGGTAGCGCTGCTGCCGGAAGCGCCGCTCGAGAGCCAGCGTCTGCGCCTTGGAGAAGAGCACCCGCCGCTTCTTCTTCAGCTTCTCCTCGTCTGCCTCCCGCGCTGCCTGACGGGTCGAGGCGGCGGCCGGGCGCGGTCGGCTCTCGGCGCCGCTGTCGTCCGAGGCTGCGGGAGAGAGCGGGACAAGATCGGGACATGTTGGCCTTAGTTTGCTTTTGAAAACCGCGGGAAGGGAAGGGAAGGGAAAGGAAGGGAGGGAAGAGAAAGGAAGGGGGAGGAAAAGGAAGGGGAGGGAGGGAAGGGAAGGGGAAGGAGGGAAGGAAGGAAGGGAAGGGAAAGAAGAGAAAGGAAGGGGGAGGGAAGGGGAAAAAGAAAAAGGAAGGGAAGAGAAAGGAAGGGAAAGGAGGAAGAGAAAGGAAGGGGAGGGGAGGGAGGGAGGGGAAGGAGGGAAGGGAAGAAAAGGAAGGAGGGAAAGGAAGGAAGAGTAAGGAAGGGGAGGAAGGAAAGGAAGGGAAGGGGAAGAGAAAGAAAAGAAAGGGAGGGGAGGGGAGAGAAGGAAGAGAAAGGAAGGGGAGGAAGGGAAGGGGAGGGAAGGAAGAAAAAAAAGGAAGGGAGGAAGGAAAGAAGGGAAGGGAAGAGAAGGGGGAGAAAGAAGGGGAAGGGGAAGGGAAGGGGAAGGGAAAGGGGGAAGAGAAAGGAAGGGGAGGGGAAGGAGGGAGGGAAAGAAAGGAAGGGGGAGGGAAAGGAAGGAAAGAAAGGAAGGGGAGGAAGGAAAGGGGAAAGGAAAAGAAAGGGAGGGGAGGGAGAGAAGGAAAGAAAGGAAGGGAAGAGAAAGAAGGGGAGGGAGGGAAGGGAAGAGAAAGGAAGGGGGAGGAAAGGAAGGAAGAGAAAGGAAGGGGAGGAAGAGAAGGAAGGGAAAGGAAAAGAAAGGGAGGGGAGGGGAGAGAAGGAAGAAAAGAAGGGAAGAGAAAGGAAGGGAGGAAGGGAAAGGGAAGGGAAAGAGGGGAGGGAAGAAGAGAAAGGAAGGGGGAGGGAAGGGAAGAAAGAAAAAGAAGGGAAGAGAAAGAAGGGGAAGGAGGAAGGCAAAGGGGAAGGGGAAGGGGAAGAGAAAGAAGGGAGGGAGGGAAGGAGGGAAGGGAAGAAAGGAAGGGAGGAGAAGAAGAGAGGAAGGGGGAGGAAGGGAAAGGAAGGGAAGGGAAAGGAAAAGGAAAAGAAAGGAGGGGAGGGAGAGAAGGAAGAGAAAGGAAGGGAAGGGAAGGGAAGGGTTCTCCCAACATGCTAAAGGAATACAACCACACACACACACACACACACACACACACACACACACACACACTTATGGTTTTAGAGCGATGTGTGAAGCCAGAACCTAAGATCAGAAACGGAAACCTTTCAATAAACGTCCTCGACTTTTGAAGGTGGCAGCAAGCAGAGGGGAGGGGAGGGGAGGGGAAGGGGGAGAACGGAGGGTGAAAGAGATCGACAGCATTTACAAGATAGCGTGTGAACCGTGTGAAACATTTGAATTAACCCTGAACGTTTCTCAAATTCATTACTTTTTTTTAGGGTTAATAGAGTTTCTCTCCGCCCCCCCCCCCGCCGCCGCTTTTATCTTTCACCTTCACCTATCTTTTTCCTAGTTTCTTTTCTTCTTTCTTATTCAAATTTCAGACCAATTAAAATGTGGCTTAGCGCTTGTTGTCTTTCCGCGGTTTTGGGGGATTATTAACACCCTACACTAAAGTCAGGTAATTGTGATATTTCGGACAAAAGCCGAAACCTTTTCGAGCGGCTCGGCCTTGGGAGAAAGTGGAAGAGACCACGCAGTTCCGGATAGGCTAGTACTATTTCAATCCTAACTACACTTACGTTTTCATTCAGCGGAATTTAAATCTAAATAAAAATGCAGAGGATTGCAGTAGCGTATTTTTTAATATATATATATATATACCACCTTTATTAGTTTTATAAATAACTCTTTCCGCCTCTATTTTCCCCCAAAAAACATCCCTGTGAGATGATAGGGCGGAGAGAGAGTGATTGGCCCTAAGTCACACGCTCTCTCTATCCAGTGTTGTTCCTTATTATCTTTTTAGTCAACAGCTAACTGTGTGTGAAAATATAAATATAGGTGCGTATACAGGTGTAGATATAGTTACCATGTAAATAAACTATTGTATTCCTATATAACTGATGTCCAAAGGAAAAGAAAGAGGCATAGCTATGTCAGTTTCCATTTCTGACGATTTTCTAAGCTAAAACAGCGAAGAGCCTTGCAATACCTTCACAACGGTTTCCTATACCTGTATGCGCAAAACTAAATCCTATTGAGTGTCCAATGGGTTTATTCCATAGACTAAATTGAACACATACATCGTAAACTGAGCAACAGCAGGGAAAGAAGTTGCCGATAAGAAAGAGAATAATGGGGAAATGTGTCAAAGTGTGGGGGAGGGTAGTTATGTTCGTCAGGAATATGCACGAACCCCAGAAGGGTGTGCCGCTTGGGTTAGGAGGTTCCCCGCGTGTGATAGGAACCAATACCTCGAGACACAAGAGGAGCATTGGGTCCCCCATCTCCATCCCTAGCAACTGCCTCCCCCACTTTCGAGCTTAGCTGCAAAGGAATCGAAGATATTGTATGGAAAAAGAGAAAACAACTGTCCAGAGGGAAGAGGAGGCGGTCCTCATATATAGGAAGGTATGTATGGGTATATATAGACGCCTCATCTTTTCGGCTGCTAGATTCTAAGAAGGTAAAATAGGTTACCCATTCAGCGCGCGTTTCCTCCTGCCTGGATGCTCCTACTGGATTGCGGGGATTAACGTGAAAGATAAAATGAATATGGGGGCGATCCTGAACCCTCCACGAATTCTTGCTTGCTCTATTCTTGAACGTCAAGACAGGACAAGAAGAGCCTGGCCCGAAAGGAGAACGCTTTCTGGGGGCCACACCCGCGCCAAAAGCCTCTTCCAACTATGTAGAACTCATCTTCTGAAAAGTGGGGGGGAAAAAACCCAATAAGTTTTAGACTGATGGGCAAAAGAAGTCGAATCGGTTTTCTTGGATAGAAGAAGCCCCCCCCCCCATGTCAGTAAAGCTAACTCCACTTTTACTTAAGTCCTAACTTTTCTTTCGATCATTTTAGAAAGTCTGGTGGCATCCACAGCAGTATCTTATTTTTTAAAAATGGAACTGAATTAACGCGAAGTTGCGCTCCAGCTGGGCTGGAAAGAGAGGGAAATCCGTTCCTTAAGCAGGTCCCAACGAAAGACTTGTCCAGCCAAAAAGTTGGTTGAGTTCGATGGGAAATTTACAAGCGACTTAACTACCTTTGGAAGCAGAGGGTTAGCTGCCACTTTTTACCAACAGGAATTAAGTTATTTTTATTAATTTATTTCATCACAGCTCCTGATCGTTTTTAGTAACAGAAATAACTGCTGGACATTCAAACACTGTGGTACATTTTAGGGAAATGTCATAAAGAAAGAGGGGGTAAAATAAAGCTAACCTATTGGACATGGTGTAATGATGACTTTTTTTAAAAAAAAAGTATCTGAAATATATTTTGCAATTTAAAAAGTGTGTAATTAAAAATTTACAGAAGGGAGAGAGCTGCATCCACGGATCTAATGGCTTTCACAAATACAAGCAGAATCTATTCACAGTAACTAAAATCATGCTGGATTGAATAGGGTTGATGATGAGGATGAGTTTCTTTATTTTTTATTATTTATCTCTAATAATACGAAAGGCTTTTTTGAGCATTTATTTGTTCTCTCTCCCTCCCGTTCCCCATAAAATAAAAGAATTGGAAGAATATGATTAGAAAAAAGAGGTAATAAAATAAAACCTTTTTTCAAAATCTGTGGTTATTTAATAAGCCAGGATCCTGGTAGAGATATGGATAATCTAACAGTGTCAGTCAGAGGAACCGTAAACAAGGCCTTTATCATTGTGTACCCGTAGGTAAGGGAATATTTAATGTTTGACTATTAACTTGCCTAGTGCGACATTTGTACATCATTCTGGATGTATTAACTTGCCTAGTGCGACATTTGTACATCATTCTGGACTCTGTCAAAGCAGGCAAAACCAGACTTCCAATTTCACATTCTTAATAGCTCGCCACAAAAAAAAACCATTCAGAATATTTTTCCTATATAAAATGTCAACATTTAAATTGCTTTCTATTCTTTGTGCCTGTTTCCTTCTACCTGCAGTGTTTTTGTGCGTCTGTGTTTGAACAAAAAAAGGAGGGAAGCATCTTGTATATACACTAGCTGTAATAATTGGCTTACGTCTTCTCATGTTCTTATATACTCTTGATCTATTTTCTTCTTTCTCTTTCTAGATGTATAAACATTTCAAAGAAGTCGGTTTTTTTCCCCCTTGCTATAGAACATCCTTCTTCAGTCAGGACGAGTTTCTCCGGATTATTCACCTACTCCCTCAACCTCGAGCCCTCCAGATACCTTGGATTAGACTCTATCCTTCAGTTTCATGTTCCTCTGCTTTCTTTCTTTCCTTCCTTCCTTCCTTCCTTCCTTCCTTCCTTCCTTCCTTCCTTCCTCCTTCCTTCCTTCCTTCCTTCCTTCCTTCCTTCCTTCCTTCCTTCCTTCCTTCCATTCCCCCCCATCCCCCATCCCCGCACTCACAGAGATAGTGGCTTCTTTCGGTTTCCATCCAAGCTCGAAAGGGAGAGGCGGCGTAGCTTTCTGCCGGTTCCTGACCCTCGCTGCTGCCGCCGCCGCCGCCACTTTCTTGCTCAGGTAAATCCAAGAGGCTCCGCACGGTGAAGCTGCCCCTGGCTAAGGTGGCCATGGTCGCGTCGGGCGGGCTAGCGGGGCAGAGGCTACTGGACCCCGGCCAGGCTCGGAGAGACGCTCATTCCGGCTTCCCCTCGGGCAGGAGATTAGTGTCGCTTACCTCGGGGGCGCCTGTTTATATCAACAGTCTTCCCCACCGTAAACACTGGTTGCTTTCAACCGTCCCTGTCTATGAGCTGCTAAGTACCTGAATTAGTCAAGTGCTAAAAGCTCTAATGGGAGGCAAGGCGAGCTCCCCCTCCTCCTCCTCCTCCTCTTCCCCCCCCGCACCCACCCATCCACTTCTCTGTCCTCTCCTCCGGAGATTCACCCTCACCCTCCCAAACAGAGAGCGAGAAAGAGACCCCTCCCCAAAGCCAGCAGGAAGCGGCCTTCAGTATTACGGATTCTGTCTGATTAGGCCAAAGTGGGGACAGATAATGGGGATTGTTCGCTCTGAATAACATCTTGGGTGGTATTTCGGGGGGAGAGGAGAGAGAGAGAACCGCAGCCGCTCCTGGCAGCCCCTCCAGCCCTCTCCTCACCCACAAAGTGAATCCTCACAGGATATCCGCAGCTTTGGTCCCCGGAGGCTGGCTTGGAGATGCTTGGATTTCTCCCCGCTGCTTCATCCTTTTCATGGAACCTATTTGTGTTCTTTTTTCCCCTCCTGTATTTGGAAAACACTCCAAGGGGGGGAAAGTGGAGGATGAAAGGTGCTGCTGCTAAGTAGCAAGCAGCACCTAAGGGCCTGGTGGCTCAGCAGACTGATAGCATTGTGATTAACACCAGCTGTCTGCAATTACTATAAGTTCGAATCTCACCAGGCTCAAGGTTGACTCAGCCTTCCATCCTTTCTAAGGTAGGTTAAATGAGGACCCAGTTTGTGGGGGCAATAAGCTGCCTTTGTATAAATATACAAAAGTATGAAGGCTATTGCTTAAGGCACTGTAAGCCGCCTTGAGTCCCCGGAGAAGGGCGGCATATAAATCAAATTTTTTAAAAAAGTACCTAGCACTCCTCCTCCTCTTCCTGCTCTTCTGCAATGGGCTTGAATCCTTCTCTTCACACCTAAATACTGGGGCTTTAGCAACCCATTGCATCCCACATCTTCCATCCCCAATCTGTGACAATTTGCCAGGGCCAACTCGCCATGACCAATAAGAATAAAATGTGAATGGCAAAAGTTAAAATATTTTTTATTTATTTTAAATAATTAAATAGAATTGTTACATTGTCCTGCAGCGAGTTGTCCTGTGTTGAGTTGGCCAGGATGAGTTGGCCACAGCAAGTTGGCTGAGGCCAGTTGTCCCTTTCCCTCCCAGCCCACCCTGTTCTGCAGCACCTCATCTCAAATGGAGTAGTTTTCATCTTTCTTCACCAGATCTGGATTTTAGCAGCCAGCAGTTGCCTGGGACCCATTTCTTGAAAAGTCCAGTTGAATTGTGATCCATAATCACTCCCATGTGGTTGCTGAGCTTTTGAACCAGTGCTGTGAGTGAGCCACCTCTGAGGGAATCCCCAACATTTGGATAATTAAATAATCTGTGAATGCTGCATTTTTTCCTGTTAGGGTGCCATTTCCAGGCAGGGTGGTCTTAGTGGAAGGAAGTAACTGGGCCTCTGGCAGTCATGAGCACTGCTGGCAGGTTTCAGTAGTTCAGGCTCACTGATCTTACCCAGGAGGTGTAGCATGTGAGCAGCAAGCAAGCCCTTGTTTATCGGACTGCCCTCCAGATGTTGTGGGACCATCCCTTCACAATTTCCATCCTCCATGCGTCCATGCTCTAGAAGTCCCATTTGGAGAGCACCAGGCTGGAGAAAGCTGGTTTAGATGGTGGGGAAATGGTCTCGTTCTGGGTTCCACTACTAAGGAACAGAAAAATAATCCAATTGCAATCCAATAATCCTGTTGTAATCCACTTGCCCTCCCCCTTCCCTAAAAAAAAAAAGACAAAAAGACAAAAACGACCACACAGTTTTCACAGGTAAAGATGAAAATGTAGTTGTATGGAGCTATTATGTTGTTTCATTTGGCTGGACAGCTCCAATTCCCTGCCTGAGCCTCCCAGTGGGAAAAGTAATGCCCCACCCAAACCAAAAATCAAATGAATGGGACATCTATATCAATTCCTTTGAATACTATGATTTTCAAGTCAAAAGAGACCTCATACTACAGCCAGCAAAATATTCTGTTCCACATAAGCCACACAGGGACATTATTTTAAATGAGAACCCTTGACAATATCAAAAGATCCAGACTATTTTCAACTATCCTATATTGAAAACTTTTAGAAACTGAGCCTTACTTACATTTAATACTGAAACAATTGTAGGTGAGTGTCAATCTTACCTTGACATAGTTACATACATGTTACTGCTGTGAGAGTGAATATGTCAGTGGTACATTATTGCATAATATTATTATTATAATTACTGTATTATGATGCATGGACACATGTAGTGGCTGATAATATATTATTACCATTGGAACAGGATAGCTAACTGCTTTTTTTAACTGATCCCTGTTGGCTAATATATACATTATCTAGTACTCTATTTTATTACATTACATTACATTGTAATTTTAAATACGTGGTGAAAATATTATTTGCAATTACTTTATATTTGGAGTTCAGCCAATAAGTTAGGTAATTTTTAATTAATTAATTAATTAGCAGATTGATAACTACTTTTAGGAACCCCAGTTTTATTGTGTTTTTAACAATCCAAAATCTACTACTCCCCATTATTTCTTAGAATAGTAGCTGTTCAGAAAGCATTTCATCTGACTGACGTTAAGATGAGTTACATGGGATATTTTAGTTTTTCAAAGATCACTACAACCTGAAGTCCAGTGGTAAAGAATATTATTAACCAAATTGTTTGTCCATGGGGTTGCAAACTTTAGACTTGCAAGATTGACTTTGTTATGTTCCTAAAAATCTGGAGATCCACCTGCCAGAGACACAAGGCATGGGGAAACAGCCTGAATCTTAGGTTAAATAGGTGAGGGACGGAACATTTTTCCACACTTAAATCCATTCCTGAATAGCCCAGACTTGCTTCATTTCTGTAGTTCAAGAATATTCAAGTATTGTAACCTGTATTTACAATACATCCTTTTAATCCTGTTGGCTGATTTTTAAAACTACAATTGTGACAAGTTTTATGTTGTTGTGGGGAAAATAGGAAGAGGAGGAGGAGGAGGAGGAGGAGGAGGAGGGGGAGGAGGAGGAAGAAGAAGAAGAAGAAGAAGAAGAAGAAGAAGAAGAAGAAGAAGAAGGAGAAGTAGTAGTAGTAGTATTATGTGTATTCACCGCCTTAAGTTATTAATGCAAACACTAAAAACAGGAAATAAATAAATAAATAAATAAATAAATAAATAAATAAATAAATAAATAAAGTGTTTTTTCTCTCCCTCCCTCTTTCTCTCCTAATAAGCAAATAGACAAAGGAGAAATGTTTAGCCACTAAATTGGCTGTCCTGCAGCTACTTCCCATCTTTACTTTGAATGCAACTCAAAAATCTATTCAGAATACGTAGTTGGAAATGAACATTGTTCACACTGCGGATACCCTCACAATTAAGGGTTGGATCCTCTTGGATCCTGTCATATAAAGGGGATGTTTGGGAAACAGCAGTAAAAAAAACAAACCAGGCATAGACTTGGGCAGGATGAGAAAATTGGGGAAGATAGAGATATGGAGCAGGAAAAACAGATGGAATGTAGCAAATTCACAGAATGGGAGGAAGATTCAAGAAGATCCAGTTGTGAATGAAAGAGTATGGAGAGACATCTTTAGGCCACCCCAATCATCTACACACATATTTAGAAGTGCGACCTTAATGAGATGAGACTGCATCTGGTTGGTATAGTGATTTTTGTATATGTGCAGTTGCATGACCATAACCGTAAATTCTATTATTCTTCTGTATTCTTGTTAGTAAGACTCTGTTGTGCCATAAAATATGTATGTATGATATAGATTTGTTCTGTGTGTAATAACAGGTCTAATTTTACATCAAACTTGTGTGTGTATTCCTTTTATTGACTGTACTACCTTTTCAAGATTTTAATGGGTGAAGAAATCGGAACACATAAGTAACTTAAGTTTCATTATTACCACTTCATAGTTGTCCTAATGTATGTAGCTAGTGGACTCAGAATAACGTCTACTAAGATGCTCAAGATTTAAAGTATAACATAAACGATGTAGGACTCCTGCCAGGAGGATTCAGGGTCCCTATTAGAAGATGACAATAAGAATCATTGTTTATGGTCAGGCTTAAAGAATGGCCTGAATTGTGAGAAGTTGGGAGGGGGGGAGAGAATCTGGATCAGCAGGTAAAGTACAGAGCTTTAGGCAAAGAAGAGGGCTTTGAGAAGTCCCTCAAGAGACAGGCAGGATGACAAAAGGGTAGGGAGGAGTCATTCTCCCAGGCAGCATGAATGAATGAATGAATCCTCAAGAAGAGAATGCACACAAAAAAGGAGAAAGGGTAAAGACAGTGAAGAGGAATAGGAAGGAGAGTAGGAAAACAACAACAGCAGAAGCAGAAGCAACAACAACAACAACAACAAAGGATATAAATATAGAGGAGAAAAAACAGATGGTCAGTCAGGTGAAATGAAATACTTGAATATAAAATTCAATAAGTCCCATTGCTTAAACAGATGTACTAAATTTCAACAGTGTTGAGTCACAGATCCCTTGGACAGGGGCAAAGAAACTAGGAGGCACCTGTGGGATTTTGAGGCTGTTCTCATAGGCATGGAAGCACCAGGACCTGGAGAAGAATAAGGCTCTGCAATCAATCCACATCTATTCAAGTAAATGTCCAGACCAACACCCTTCGCTGATTAGATTTGGCAATACCTCTTGCCAAATCTGCAGATGGTCCTGGCAAAATAGGTAGTGTGCTGGCTGTGCCAACTGATTTAGTGACTTCATTGGAAGGATTGGGGAGATGGTCATTTGGAGATGATGATTTGCTGATTAAAACTCCATCTCCCAAAATACAGGAATGTCTTCTTATTGAAGCAGGCTTACCTTTGTTATTTTGTTTTTTTTACTAGAGGATAAAATGAAATAACTGGATACATTTTGTTCCTTTGCCAGGTTAAGCAGAAAAAATATTTAAAAATATGGAATATGAAAGTTTATCTTAAAACTGA